TCTCTCTCTCTCTCTCTCTCTCTTACTCGGCACCAAGAGAGGAGTCGCTTCGTCGAGAAGCACATACCTCCCTACAGTAGCGGCTAGCGTGCTGTGCTCCATCCCGTGCACACGTCTTAGAAGGTCACCGCACCCTTTTCTTTGCTTCCGTATGCTCCCGTCTGTAGAAGAACGCGAGAGCAACCAGAAGCGCGTTTCTGAATTTCGGCTCGGCCACCTCGAGAACAATCATGAGTGTCGCCACAGCAGGCTGCGTCCTACCGATCTGATCCTAACAAGATGCTTCCGTCACCTTATGCATCCCCTTCAGTGAGTCATGACGGCGCCGCAAACCTCAAAGTTCCGAACTCTCTCCTACTTTGTATGCACCCAATCATAATGGCTATGCATCCCAGTATGCATCCAATCACCATGCCAATGACTCGTGCGACGGGTTTTGACGTCCACGCAGCACGCTAGAACGGCGGCGGAAAACGATGGCGAAGAGCGAGACGCGTGGGCTGACCCGGTGGAAGCAGACCTCGCGGTGGTTTCTACGGTGGAGTCCATAGGGTCGGAGGCGTCAGCCATGTGCCTCGGGCGGTTCGGGCAGCACGTGCTTCTCGGCACTGCCAGTGGATCGGTAGGTTGCTGTTGTTGTTGTTGCAGCAGCAGCTGCTGCTGCTGTTGCTGATTTCATTGTTGTTGCTGTTGGTCGCGGTGGTGTTGCTGTTGGTTGCTGCTGCTGTTGCCGTTGCTGTCTCACATTGTAGCGTGCCGTCCGCAAGCTCGCGCGCTGAGAGTGTTTGGTGACGTACGCCAAGCAACAATGGAGATGACTCTGTTTTCTTGTTGCTTAGCAAGCGCTCCAAGTTAACGCCACTAAAACATGCAACCTGCCGCCCCCCTCAGACCCCAAACATTCTCTGAGGTTTTTTTCTTGTTTATTATTTTGTTCCTAGACCGAGTCTACAAGGAAATTTCCTCGGTCGTGTTCGGTTGCTGTGATGTACCTGGTGCAATGGATTCAATCGGCACGTATCTCCTCGTCGTGGCACGGGCTGGTATACGATCAAAGTTTTGGCCGACATCTCTGTGTCACGCGTTGTGTATTCTGTTTAATTTTTTTACATGTAGATCTACGGGGTATCCTGGGAGGGGCAAATCCTGTGCTGTTACGATATCGTAGCGGGGCCAAGTCCCTCTCCGAGAGTGAACAACAGCGGCGGCGGCGGCGGCAGCGGCGGCCATCTGGGGCAGGGCGGGACGGAGCCGGGTACCCGGCGGTTCGGGGGGCAGGGAGCGTCGTCCATGTCATTCAACGACACGCTGCAGGTGACGGACGAGACGAAATTGTCGATGTTTTGCGAAAAGCGCGACTAACAAGAGACTTGGCAAGTATCTCCGTCGCTCCAAGTAGTGAGACAAAGACACGCCGCACACACACAGCTTTCCCGCTGAAGAGGAGTGCACATAAGATGGAATTTCTCTGTCTAAAGCTAGCTTTTCTCTGTTGTCTTGCTCTTCTCTCCACCGCCCTATATACCCGTGCGGCTGACGGACGTTCTCCCGGGGTCGACACGCCACGCCACCGGCCACCACGACCACCGCTGCTACAACGGCACCCCGGCCGGGTGGCTGCAAACGCAACGCCCGACTACCGGGCACTTCCAGCTGCTAGCGCTTACGGCGACAGACGGCAGCTTCTTCCTGGGGACGCTGTCGAAGACCACGTGCTGGCTCCGCAACATCGCCGTCGCCGACCGTTCAAACGCTACGGCCGCCCCGCCCTCCGCCGCCGCGGGCCGAAAACCCAACTCGGCTGCGCCTCCTTCCTATCCGGCTAACGCCGACGGCGACAACCAAGAAATAGGCTGGGGGTGGAGACTACTGGGCACGGGGCGCAACGCGGTGGCTGCGGCGGTCGACGCGCTGTCTTCCCCCCGCTCCAACACCGATGGCGTTTTTTTTTCGGGCGGGGACGGCGGGGACGGCGGGGACGGCGGCGAGGAGTCGAGCGTGGCAGCGGAGGGCGGCGAGAGCGGCGATACGGCCGGTACGGGAGCCGTGGGCGTGGAGTTCAGTGCAAAAGGCGGCCTGATGGCGGTTGCCCTCGCGGATGGGACGGTGCTCCTGGCCCGGGTCGAGCGTTACACGAGCGGGGTCAGGTGTGTGTGTCTGTGGGTTTCTCTTGGATGGGGTCGGGCTCACGCGGAACGGAGGGGATCGGATGAAGAAGGCTCGTTGGCATCTCACACGCCTTCGACATTTGCTGTTGTTGTTGTTGTTGTTGTTGTTGTTGTTGTTGTTGTCGTCGTCGTCGTTGTCGCTGCTGTTGTTGTCCTTACACACTTGAGACGGTTACAATCCCTGCTCAGTACCTTCTAACATCCATACCGTTGACAGAAGAAAACGGGTTGTACGTACATGTGTGCGCGTGTACACGCGTATCGTGCTTGTTAACACGATGGTCGAGCGTAAGTGGCAACCCGAAATACGACCAAAATCACAGCACACAAACGTGATGAGCGGGGGCGGTCGTAGGCTCGTGCCGATGCCGTCGATCGGCTCGTACCGTCCACGGAACACTCACTGCGTTTGAGCGCGGTCTCTAATTGTCATGGTCTTGTCGATCTCCGAACCCTCGTCTCCTGCTCGTTTTTGTGTCCACGTTGGTCGTTGTGTCGTCCATACGTGCCGGGGAACAAAATACTCTGAATCAATGGTGCGTCGTTTTTTTTTGTTGCACGGATTTTGAGGACGCAGGGCGCGGCACAAGCTCCAGATATCGAACAGCATGCTCCACCGCTCCGATAGCCACAGGCTTGAGAACTACTTAGCGGACGAGACGCTTCGTGCCGAGCAGGGGCTCGGGGACGTAAGCGAGGGCGACGGAAAAGAAGGTGACTTTTTTTTTCCTGTTTTTTTTCCATGTGTGTTCGTGTCAGGGGGGGGGG